CCCATGCCAGCCCCCAGCCTCACCCCGGAGCCCCCAGACGGGCATCTGGAAGCTGCCCGGCTTTGGGACCAGCCTGGCACATCTGGCAGCTCCAGAGAGGGTGCTGGGCGCACCTCACCTTGGCTGGGCCCAGCCTCCACATGGGTGGCAAGGGGGGCAGCGTTCCACTGGCCTGGCCAAAAGGGGAGGAAGAGCTCCTGCCCGGCTTTGGGACCAGCCTGGCACATCTGGCAGCTCCAGAGAGGGTGCTGGGCGCACCTCACCTTGGCTGGGCCCAGCCTCCACATGGGTGGCAAGGGGGGCAGCGTTCCACTGGCCTGCTGATGGAATGGTTGGCTCTGTGCCCCCGGCGGCTCCTGGCCCATGGCCTGGCCTCTCTCCCATCAGCCTCTGCCGGCAAACCAAGCCCCTCTCCCCTCGCCTCCATCCTACTGCACAGGATGCTTCTGGCACCCGCACTGCTGGCTGTGGGTGTGCCGAGCCCAAGGCCCGAGGAAAGGGCCGGTCTGTTCCTGCGAAGGAGGCATGACAGCGTCCTGTTCAGGCAGGAGCCGGAGTTGAGGGAACGCCAGGGTGGGCCTGATTCTGCCCGGAAATGGGTGACATGATCATTATTGAGTCTTGGTGCAAAATGCTGCTCTCTCCTGGCAGAAGAGGGACAAACCCGAGTCTTGTACTGCACAGTGGCCTCTTGGCGCATAATGGGCCTATCCTGCCTCATAGATGTAAGGGGAAATCCTGCCTCACCAGTCTATTAGAATTCTTGAAGGGTGTGAAAAATATATGGACAAGGGTGAGCCAGTGGATACAGTTTACTTGGACTTTCCAAAAGCCTTAGACCAGGTGCCTCTCAAGCCAAGTGAGCTGTCATGGGATAAGAGGGAAGGGCCTCTCAGAGACTGATAACTGCTTAAAAATGAAACAAAAGCCAGGGCTATACAGCACTTTAAAGACTAACAAGATGGTTTATTAGGTGAGGAGCTTTCGTGGGCCAGACCCACTTCCTCAGATCAATATGTGGAAGAAAATTGGCACGACCGTATATACCAAAGTGATACAATCAAAAAAAAGTGAACACACATAAAATTGACGAATCAGGTTTAAGAACAGAGGAGGGAAGGTGAGTGTCTGTGAGGTATTGACATTAGGGGTGATAACTGGGGAAGCGATCTTTGTAATGGGTGAGATAATTAGCATCTTTGTTAAGACCCATACGTAAAGTGTCAACATGGTTAGGTTGGACCTAACCATGCCAGTTACAAGATCAAGAACACATATTCCTGTTCATCCAGAAATATAATTTATGCCATCATGTGCCTAAAGTGTCTGTCTGCTATGTACATTGGACAAACTTCTCAGACACTTCACCAAAGAATCAATGAGCATAAAACAGACATCAGGCTCTCTCCCAGAGAGAAAACTGTTGCTTGCCATTTTAACCAGACTGGCCATTCCCTCAATGACCTTAAAACATGCATATTGCTTCAAAGAGATTTTAACTCCAGACTTTCAAAGAGAAGCCTCAGAACTGTCATTCATGCTTACGTTTGACACTGAAATCTGATTCGTCAATTTTATGTGTGTTCATTTTTTTGATTGTATCACTTTGGTATATATGGTCGTGCCAATTTTCTTCCACATATTGATCTGAGGAAGTGGGTCTGGCCCACGAAAGCTCCTCACCTAATAAACCATCTTGTTAGTCTTTCAAGTGCTGCATAGTCCTGTCTTTTGTTTCAGCTAGACCAGACTAACACGGCTACATCTCTGTCGCTGGTTAAAAATGAGAAGCAAAGGGTAGGAATAAACCATCAGTTTTCCCAGTGAAGATAAGTCAATAGGGGATTCCCAAAGGGTCTTACATGGAACCAGTGCCATTCAACATAGTCACAGTAGGTCCAGAAAAGGGGGTGAACAGAGAGGTGCAGAATGCAAAAGTGCTCAAGATCGTTAAGTCCAAAGCTGACTGCAAAGAGTTACTGATGCAGTGTCACAAAACTGTGTGACTGGGCAACAACAGGTGAAATTCATTGTTGATAAGTGTAAAATAAAGACATTGGAAAAGATAATAGCAACTGTTCATAGAAAACAATGGGGGCTACGTTAGCTGTTACTGATTACTTCTACAGCCCTTTCTTGGAGTGATTGTGCGTAGTTCTCCAAAGACCCATCTGCTCAATGTGCACCCGTAGTCCAACGAGTGAACAGCCTAGAGAGGGATCCATGAGAAGACAGAAGATAGCACAGTGCTGCAGTGCAAATCCACGGGCTCTCCACCCCACGAAAATTGGCTTCATTTCTGAGCGCTCCTTCTGAAAAAAACAAAGATTCTGTAGAGCTGGAAAAATTACAGGGAAAGGCATAAAAATGATTAGGATATGGAACAGCTTCCATACCAAGAGCAATTTTAAAAAATGGGAATTAATATTCATCTTGGAAAAAAGACAACCGAGGGGAGATATAGTAGAGATCTAGAAAATCATAAAGGACGTGGAGAACATGAGTAGGGAAATGTTATTTCCCCCTTAAACATGTAACCCAGAGGCACTGAGGCTACTGACAAGGGAGAGTGAAGTCTGCTCGGCAGCCTGAGCTGAGCGCCAGGTGGCTTTCAGCTCCTGTGGTAGAGGCTCTATAAAGATAACACAGAAACCAGGGGTCACACCATGAAATTAATAGGCCTTAGGGTTAGCACAAACAAAAGGTAGTCGTTCTTCACATGATGCACAGTCAGCCTGCTAAACCTGTTACCAGAGGATGTGAAGACCAAACGCATAACTAGGTTGGAAAAAGAATTAGATACCTTCATGGAGGATGGTCCAAGACAGTCAAGGATGCAATAAACCCATGCTCTGAGTGTCCCTAACCTTTTCAGGAATGTTACGTATCGGTTACTTGAATAGTTGATTACTCTCGTGAATTCTTCTCCGTTACTTGACTATTCTGTAGTACCCGGGGGTGGGGCCAGCAGCTCCAGCCCCACTCCCGTGGTGCCCCCTGCCAATCCACACTGCTGCCTCTGTATCTGAGGCAGCAGCACGGGGTGCCATGCAGGAGCTGGTCCACAAGGGGAGCCAGTTTAAAAAACAGATCTAAGTTCCCGTATCCGGTGTGAGCTGGAACTGAGCCGGGCTGCCTGCCTGCCCAGCTCCTAATACACTTTAAATGCAGAGCCACAGCAAGGGTAGGTCCCAGACCCAGTGCAAGCCAGGACTGAGTTGGGCTGCTGTCCAGCCTGCTAAAAAATTGATTGGAGAGGGGGGATATGTGTAGTGTATAGCATTAATCAATAAGCTTTTGCTTATCAGTTAATCGACTACACTATTACATTCCTAAATGTTTTGCCCGCTAGAACAATAGGGGGTGAATGATAGGGGAAGGATCACCGAATAAATAGCCGTGTTCTGTTCCTTTCCTCTGAAGCTATGTCCACTTGTGTCTTGTTCAGGGGTGGATAGAGGGCAGGGCGAACGGGGCGGCTGCCCCGGGCCCTGCGCTTCAGAAAGCCCCGCACATGCACCGTGGCGCCACTGTGCATACGCATGGTGTCACTGAGCATGCGCCGTGGCAAAGGGGGGGCCCCGCAGAATTATGCTGCCCAGGGCCCTGCAAAACGGTCATCTGCCTCTGGTCTTGTGACACTTTTAAAACATTTGTATTAACACTTCTTGCTATTCAATGTATAGAATTTCAGTATGTGATTAGAAATGTCATTGTCCCATGTACCATTCATTTGTGCCATGCTTGGGGACTCCTGGATGGAAGGTGTTTAATAGGATCAAAAATTTCAAACTATGAATTAATTTAAAAAAAAGCTTTTTAAAAAGACAATCTTTCTAAAAATCATTTGCACAAAAGGGCCAATGTAGACAGCAGAGATTTGTTTTCTGCAAAAAAGCCTCGATCGCGAAAATGGCGATCGGGCCCGTTTGGCGGAAAACCGCGTCTGGATTGGCACTGACGCTTTTCCGCAGAACGTGCTTTTGTAGAGAAGCGTCCTGCCAATCTAGGCGTGCTTTTCCGAAAATGCTTTTCACGGAAAATCCTGCCAGTGTAGTAGCCCCGCAGGGCAGACAGAGCCTGGGATTGCTGGCTCCCCCCCCCCACACACACACTCTGGGGATGCTGCCATCCCCCTATCTCTGGGTGGATTGGCACTGACGCTTTTCCGCAGAACGTGCTTTTGTAGAGAAGCGTCCTGCCAATCTAGGCGTGCTTTTCCGAAAATGCTTTTCACGGAAAATCCTGCCAGTGTAGTAGCCCCGCAGGGCAGACAGAGCCTGGGATTGCTGGCTCCCCCCCCCCACACACACACTCTGGGGATGCTGCCATCCCCCTATCTCTGGGGCTGATGCCCCCCTCCCCCCCGGTTTTGGGCTGCTGGCTGGGGCCGGGACGGGGGGGGGCCTGCCCCGTCGGGGGAGGCAGGCCGCCTGCACACGC